CATATGCCGTATACTTGGTGTTCAAGCTAGAATATGTATACTATGAGTTCGGATTCCCGTACGAGGTGGCCTCCGTTGGTGTTGCTGGGAGGGAGTCGACCCGACTAGTTTCCGTGCAAGGCAACATCAAGGATGGAGATGGGGATGGCAATGCGCCTCATAGACACATCTTTCAAGGTTGCAGAGGGACTCTTAGTTGTGACGCAATTACTTCAGGAGAGGACATTCATTTCCCTCGTGAAAATGCCGATGGCTGGATGGAAGTGGAGTTGGGTGAGTTCCATAATGACGAAGCCGACGATGGTGGTGAGGTGTCCATCAGCTTCACGTGAGAAAGCAAGTCTTGTCTTAAAGTGTTGGGCATTGAACTCATAAGTAAGCAACAAAAGCCTACATAATTGTAGCATTGCCATTGAGTAACTCCTGGGAGTTAAAAGGGGACATTTTTGAAGTTTCTTTGTTACATAGTGATTTTTGTTTCCTCTCATGTTCTAGTATTTTGTCCTGAACACAGTTAATAGAAATTCTTAGAAACATGTAGGAGCTTTAATTACCTCTTCGAGCTCAACTAAAAAGATACTGCTAGTTCATTACTGCCCGCAACAACACCAGAAGAATATGGGCAGAGAATTTACAGGCCAGCCAGTGAAAAACCTGGGATTTGAACCCATGTAATCCCACTATGTCTAGATGGCAAGTACTCCCTCTGTCCCATATTATCCCATATTATAAGATGTTTTTACAAGCTAACATAGCTTGCAAAATCGTCTTATTTCTGGGATGGAGGGAGTAAATGCTAGACATGTGACGTATAATGAACCCATTATATGTAGTTTCATCATTGTTGTACGCCATCCCATCCATCTTCTTTGACGGAGTCTTGTGAGAGGCATGCACAAAAACAGCAAAGATATATGCAAAGGTGTATCTGGCCCTCTTTACAATTATTATTTTCCTTTGTGAGAAAACCGCTCCCACAAGACATAATATTCTACCATGCAATCATGCATGGATACAACGTCCGTTATTGTTTTGAGATTCGTGCTATAGTTTCTGGTTTTTGACACAATTTGTCTTGTTTTGTTTCAAACTATTTCACTAGTTTTTTTTCTTGTTTCAAAGTGCATCATAATGTTTCAGTGTGAATCATCGTCTGCCAGTAAATCTGGTCTTAAACAAGTGCACTCTTATTTGTTTATGCACAACAAAACATTGTGATTCAATCCGGATGGGCAGCACGGGAGGCGATCTCGATATGATTTTTTGCGACCTCCCTCTCCACCTTCTCCCTCCTTGCCGCTGCTGGAAATGCCACTAGGCAACGCCCAGGTGGCTGACGGCGGCGTCGGGGCCCCGGTTGTTCTCCAACGTCTGTCTATGGTCAAGCCGGCAATCTGACCCATGGGCAGCCACGCCCATGGGCACCCTACTCAAATGGCTAGGATATGGGTCGTCACGTTCACCCATGAGTAAGCCCGATGGGTAAGCCGATTAGTCGTGCGTAGGGTATGGGCATAAGGTCATGCCCGTGGGTCACCCGATGGGTATGGGGATGGCAATTCGCCTCGGAGACATATCTTTCAAGGTTGCAGAGAGTGTCTTAGCTGTGATGCAATTACTCCAAGAGAGGACGTTCATTTCCCTCGTAAAAATATTGATGGCTGGATGGAATGGACTTGGGTGAGTTCCATAACGACGAAGTTGGCGATGGTGGCAAGGTGTCCATCAGCTTCTCGGGAGAAAGCAAAGTCTGTTCTTCTTGTGCTGGGAACTGAGCTCAGTAGTAAGCAACAAAAGCCGACATAATTGTAGCATACCATTAAGTAACTCCTGGCAGTTAAAAAATGACCTTTTTGAAGTGTCTTTGTTACATAGTGATTTTTGTTTCCTCTCATGTTCTAGTCTTTTGTTCTAAAAACAGTTAATAGTTCTTTCTCCGAAAACATGTAGGAGCTTTAATTACCTCTTCGAGCTCAACTAAGAAGATACTAGGAAGATAATGTTAGTTCATTACTACCCATGACACAATTTCAGGCAACAATCAGTACGAAATCATCTTTCAGGTCTATGCCACATTTTCTGGTTTTGACACGATCGATTGCGTGAGATCGGGAATGTATTCGAGAATCTGGAATGGACATAAACAACATGTTACTACATTGCTTTGTTGTCAGTTCAGGTAGCAAAAGGAAGAATGGCTGGCCAGATAATGCACGCATTTTGTAAGGTCATGCCCAGCTTACGGTCGTAAGGTCAGAAAACGATGTAACATCAATATATGATGCTTACTAAGATTCCTTGTTTTTTGTTCAAAAGTATAACCATAATATCAGTTTGTTCCTCATAGAATACAAGGTTGGTTTGCACTATTATTTGCACAGACTAAGACAGTTTGCACCATAGTCTATCTACTAGAAGTATAGCATCAACTCTCATCCAACTAACAATAATAGTTTCTTCGGTTAAAATAATTGTGACAGGCTGAAAGTAAATCAGAAATGAGAGTCTTCACACATATGTTACTCTCTTGTTAGTAGAAAACATGCTGCACGTACCTGTAGATTGCTCCAGTTCATAGATCCAAGAAATGGAGATGAATCAAACAGACGGAGCTACATGGTGCAGAGGCAACTCCCATGTTGTTGCTCCAATCTATAGGGCCGAATTGATTCAAGGCTCTTCAATCACCACCACCACCATCGTGAGCATTCCCTGCTTGCTGCCCACAATCATTGTTGATCAGTCACTCTAAGTATTAAAGCAGTAAGAACACACTTACACACACACACACACTCAACCTCGTCTGTTTTTCGGCAAACATATGTGCCAGCTACATGCAAACTGGGCTGAGCTGTTCTTTCAGTATACGAAATACTTTGGCTGCAAAAAGGAAAAATAAAAGGAAGTAGAATGAAGCAATTGAGTAACATAATTTTAAATAAAGGCGTGTCAAGATTAAAAATATTACTGAGTGAAGAAGGTTTCAGTTGTGAATCATAAATCAGACAACTACTATATACCTTGTTTCCAAATAAGGAAGTATTGTAGTCATTGTTTTGTAGAATTAAATTTGAGCGGTTGTGGATTGTTTAACTTGTTTTGATGACATTTGCTTTCTTTCATGAACAATGCGTTGCTGTAGTGAATTTTGCAATCATTTTTGTACTTCTGTTGCCTTGCCTCTTTGTAGACATTCCGCTTCGTTATCTTCTAGGAGTTTAACCATCAAAGGATCTAACAGTGGGGTTCCAATTTCTTTTGTGAAATCACTAAACCGTGTTCTTCGCAAAAAAAAAAAAATTCACTAAACCGTGTGGAGTGAGTTGAGGCAATTCAGCTCAGTTCTGATACAATCATGGAGAACTGTTGCTACATACAGTACTTAAAATAGATTAGTTTGCAGGTGTTGGCTAAATTTATTTCGCTGAGAATCGACTAAATGAACCAAATGAAGAACGACCATGGATGTTCTTTCTTTACTTTGCTTTTGTGGATTGTGTTCCCGCAGATGCCGGTAAAATCTCTTGATACATGTTGTACCTTCTTTAATACAACACCAATAAAATTTCCCATCATATAAAAGACGTAAATAAAAACCTTGACTTTGCATACGAGTCAATGTAGTGGTCGAGATGAATATAGATAAGAGAAAAGTACACTTTCCGTCCCTCAATTCTTGGCCGAGTCTAGATTTAGTCCCTCAATTTCAAAACCGGACAATTTGCACCCTAAACTCTTCAAACCGGTTAAGTTTCGTCCTTTGATATGAAAGAAGCCGCATCCATACTGAGTTAGCATGGTTTTGACGAGTCGTTGCGCACATGGCAATATTTTTCTCTCTCCTTTGTCCTTCTCATCCTATTTCTTGTAGGCATTCTGTCCAGCACTTGCGGCGCGCCTGCACTTCCACCACCTCGTCGGCTGCACTTGCAGCCCTATCGTCGGAGTCGGAGCCCAGCCACAACGCCCCTGTGGTACTGAACTCCGTGAGCAGAGCGGCGAACACCGCGGCGTTGGTGAGCAGGGGTACCGTGAAGTAGAGCGCGTACTCGCAGGTGACGGTCTTGCTTTTTGACGACTGCCTTGGCTGTATGGCTGAAGGTCCCATGTGCCGCGTCTCGCGGAGGCGTTGGCGATGGGCGTGCAATGCTTGTAGTCGCAGGGCACCCGGAAGTGGCTCAAACTCCCTACACGTCTGCGTCCCAAGCTCCATGCCATCTCGTCATGGTCCGTTCCCAACTTCCCGCGGCCTGGCAAGAGTGGCGCGTGGTGCACTCAGCTTGAGCTGTCGGCGTGGCCACCGGTGACTGGCTCGCCCGGGGTAAGCCACACAAAGTTGGGAGTGAAGGTGGCAGAGACCCACGCCTCGCTATCTTCTTCGGCACGCACACGGTGAAGATGACGAGGACAGGCACCATGGCCGCGGCGGAGGGACGCCTTGCAGGCATGGGCGTGGAGGTGCGCATGTCGACGCCGCCGCCTAGCATGGATGCGTTCCGGAGGTCCATGCCGCTGCAGGTACCTCGTGCTGATGCCCAGACCAGCTTCGGAGGAGCTCCACTCCGGCCCGGCCAGCATGGCAGTGGCCAGCGTTGTCTCTGGTGCCGGTGGTGGCGCGGGCACACGGCAACCGCTCGAGGAAATGCTGACCAGAGGTAAAATAAGACAGAGGGAAGAGACTGCCACGTGAGCGCTGACCCGTCAAAACCACGCCGAGTTAGCATAAAACTGCTTTTGCTCAGTCAAGGGACAAAACTTGTACGGTTTGAAGAGTTAAGGGTGCAATTTGTACGGTTTCAAAGTTGAAGAACCAAATCTAGACTTTGCCAAGAATTGAAGGACAAAAAGTATACTTTGTTACAAATAGCAACAGTCATGTACTTTCGTCGATGAATGGTTTCGAAAATTTGGACGGATAGTTCATGTTTCACTTGCAACAACTCAAACGGATTGTTTTTTAGAAAGGAATGTAGACGACGGTTCTTAACCCAACAAGCTCATCAACATCGTTGCTTAGTTCTAATCTCCATACCCCACACAATAAGACCACTCTTGAAATTTCCTGCTTCTGTCTCCATTAGGGTCACAAACACATCACCGTCACATCCTTCTCCATTGTAGAACTCGCCTAGCTCGACCTCCATCCAGCCGTCAGCCCTTTTTCGAGGGAGCATAACGGCATCCGTGAGAGGAATTGCACGGCGTTTCGTATGAGGCAGATAGCTTTCCCAACTTGACCTCAAGATATGTTTGCGAGATACTCCGTCATCCCCATCCTCCATGTAAGCTTGGAGGCAAACTTGGCGTGTTGATGAATCATTCCCTCCAACACTTATTGATGCCACTTGAAACGGGAAATCAAGCTTGGTGAACTCATCCGCTAGTTTGAACACCATGTAAGCAGCATACTTGGAGTTCCGGCAGAGCATTGTGCTATGTATTTTGCCACGGATTGATAACCACCAAACTCCCCAAAGCTGAGCTGCTTCAAAGAAGCTGTCGCAGATGCGAGCATATGGTATGGTTAGTACTGACATTAGATGGAACCAATACCATCAGATCATAGAGAGACGATAACTAAACTAATAGGCCCAATTAATTAGCACGAACCTCTTGTTTGCTTGGATATCATCAGAAGGGAGCTTGATCCATTCCCAGTATTGTCTTGTCTCGCCTCACGAAATATGCAGCGACCTCACGGAGAGAATGTAGCACTTGGCGCCAGTAGCCCGGTCCAGCCGCATGCTCTACACAAAAGAACAGCAGATCGATTCAGTAGCCGATTTTGATAAGCAGTACTACTAGTTGGGTTGAGGTGATATGCATGGGATCTGTACTACGTACCACGAGCTTGTCTGGGAGGAGCGCCGGTTGGTCGGAGAGGCATCGGAACAAGCCCTTCTTGGACGGCGGCGCGCGGCAGAGCACGCCCTGAGCGAACCGTGGGAGGTCGTGGAGCAGGAAGCGGGACCAGACGGCGTCCGAGTCCGCGACGGCGAGGAAGGCACGGGAGACGGCGGCACAGCGTCCTGCGTCAGGCGGCGACGTGAGGGAGAGGATCGACGCCAGGACTTCCTCCGACAGGCGCGAGATCTCATTGCCGCCTGCTTCCATGATGGGATAGATCTCGTGGATAGATCTAGATCGGAAGAGACGTACCGGGATGCTGCGAATTGCGTCGTGTTATTTCAGGCAGGGAAGGGGGTTGGAGGCGGTTCGTAGGAAGATTGTAGGCGAACCGTAGGCGGTTCGTATAGGAAGATTGTAGGCAAACCGTGACATTGTTTTCTTTCTTCACGCGAAGGAGGAAAGCAGCTACACGTATATATTCGGCACGGCCCACAATGACGTGCACTTATAAACACATCCCAGCCGACAAATACATGTAAATAATTAGCTCCGACTTTTCTCCGCGACACGTTTCTTTTTCTGGCCACAGCTCCATGACATGTTTGTCTCAAAAAAAAAAGAACTCCATGACATGTTTCTCTTAGCTACGGATCGCGCGCGTGCATGGTAGGCACGTGGATCAAATTGATTACTTAGAAGATTGGTGAAACCAGAAAGGCAGGCGAGAACGCTTTTGTCAAGCTTTTATGAATTGAATAATCAACTCATCAGACGAAAGAGATGAGAAGATTACATGATGCAGGAGGCAATAGAATAAGTAACAGAAAGAGCAAACAATCACACTTGGCTAAGCACCCACACTAAACAAGATTGATTATCCCTAAAAAATTGAGGTTGATTAATGGTCACTAGTAATAATTAGAGTATCACACTATAGTCATGTGTCGTGGCGTCGTGTCATATAATTTTTTGAGCGCTTTTTTTCTGGCAGGTCGTGCCATATGGCATAATGGCATAATGGCATAATGGCGGAGTGTCGGAGGGACTATACTGGGCCGTGACCGCCTAATATCCTCCCCCCCTCTTGCCATTACTCACATTGGAATTCGCATCGCGCTCGCCCCACCGGCCAGACGCTGCAATCCTAGCCAAGTGGCACGGGAACTGTACTATCTGGCCCTCTTCGAAGCCTGCGTCGTCGCGCCATCCCTGACCGTCGATCACAACCTTGTCGGCATCAAGGAACACCAGCCGCTGCCCTCGCCGGAGGATGAAACCCGGCCGGAATATCAGTACTTAAAATAGATTAGTTTGCAGGTGTTGGCTAAATTTATTATGCTGAGAATCGACTAAATGGACAAAATGAAGGACGGCCGTGGATGTTCTTTCTTTACTTTGCTTTTGTGGGTTGTGTTCATGCCGGCAAAATCTCCTGATGCACGTTGTACCTTCTTTAATACAACATGAATAAAATTTCTTATCATCTAAAAGACATAAATAAAAACCTTAACTTGGCATACGCGTTAATCTAGTGATCGAGGTGAAATTTAGATGGATAGTTAAGCTTTCACTTGCAACAACTCAAACAGATTGTTTTTTAGAAAGGAATGCAGACGACGGCTCTTAACCCAACAAGCTCATCAACATCATCGCTTAGTTCTAATCTCAATACCCCACACAATAAGACCACTCTTCCAAACTCCTCCCTCTGTTTCCTTTAGGCACACAGACACCTCGCTATCGCAGCCTTGTCCATTGTAGAACTCGCCAAGCTCGACCTCCATCCAGCTGTCAGCCCTTTTTCGAGGGAGCATAACATCATCTGTGAGAGGAATTGCATGATAGCTCGTACGAGGCAGCTGCTGGTTTTCCCAGCTTGCAATTGCCCTCAAGATATGTTTGCAAGGTACCCCGTCATCCCCATCCCCATCCTCCACGCAGGCTTGGAGGCAAACTTGGCGTGTTGAGTCATTCCCTCCAACACTGATTGATGCCTCTTGAAACGGGAAATCGAGATTGAAGAACACATCGGCTAGCTTGAACACCATGTAAGCAGCGTACTTGGAGTTTGGGCTGAGCATTGTGCTATGTATTTCGCCACGGATTAACAGCCACCAAGCTCCCCGAAGTTGAGCTGCTTCACCGAAGCTGTCGCAAATGCAAGGGTATGGGTATGGTTAGTACTAACACTGCATGGAACGAATACCATCAGATTAGAGATGATAGGAACTAAATTTATAAGCCTAATTACTATGAACCTCTTGTTTGCTTGGATCTCATCAGAACGGAGCTTGATCCACTCCCAGTATTGTCTTGTCTCGCCCCACGAAATATGCAGGGATCTCGCCGAGAGCATGTAGCACTTGGCGCCCGTAGCCCGGTCCAGCCACATGCTCTGCACAAAAGACCGGCAGAATTCTGAATTTTGATCGAGTAGAAAAGGACGCAAGCACCCAATGTAGTTGGGTTGGGCGATTACATTTGCATGGGATCTGTACTGCACGTACCACGAAGTTGCCTGGGAGGAGCGCCGGTTGATCGGAGAGGCATCTGAACAATCCCTTCTTGGACGGCGGCGCGCGGCGGAGCACGCCTTGAGCGAACCGTGGGAGGTCGCGGGGCAGGAAGGAGGACCAGACGGCGTCAGAGTCCGCGGCGGCGAGGAAGGCCCGGGAGACGGCGGCACAGCGTCCGGCGTCAGGCGGCGACGTGAGGGAGATGATCGACGCGAGGAGCTCCTCCGGCAGGCGCGAGATCTCGTTGCCGTCTCCTTCCATGATGGGATTGATCTGTCGTGTTGGATCGGATGGACTAGTTGTTTTTTTAGGGAAGAATCGGATGGACTAGTTATTTGGGGGGTTGGAGGCGGTTCGATCCTAGGAAGATTGCAAAAGGCGTCCAAGCCGAGACATTTTCTGTTTCTATATATTCGGCCCGGCCCACAGTGACGTGCACTTATAAACACAGCCCAGCCGACAAATACATGCAATTAGCCGACTTTTCTAGCTTAAGAAAACAGACTTTTCTCGCTCAGGGTATTATACGCCGTATATTGGTGGTGAATGGCCAAACCACGAACTTCTGGCAGCACAACTGTTACCAAGAGCTCACAACATGCGGCCCACCACATTTTTGGTTGACAACCCCCCACAACTTGTGGGTGATCTCATACTTGCCAACGCAGAATGGGACAAGGAACGGATTTCTGAAATTTTCATACCAACAGATGCCGAAACCATCTTAACTGTACCGCTGTGTACAAGGGTTGTTCATGACTTTTGGGCGTGGTTCCATCAGAAAAACGGGGTTTTCAGTGTACGTCTGCTTACCGTATGCAGGTGGCAACAAAGCTACCCCGTGAAGCTTGGCTGGAGGGAAGAACCGATACATCTAACTCAGAAGAAGAGCAGAAATTGTGGACGACTATGTGGAAAGAGGATGTTCCCTCTAAGGTAAAGATTTTCCTGGAGACTTGCCCGGCAGTCCCTACCGATTGTGTGGCAACATTCGCTGCGGATTGTGTGGCAACATTCGCTATTACACTGTAATATGGCTCGCTGCGTTTGGGCGCTAGAAGATGAAGACCTAACAGCCGTGATGGATGGGATCAGAGAGCCCGATGCAACACCGTGGATTTTCTCACTGCTACATATTATTCCTCATGAAGACTTCATCAAAATTATCGTCACACGTGTACGGTCAACAGGTATAATGAGGTGGGCGGTCAACAGGTCCAGAGCACGTGAATCAGTGGCCCACGTGTCAGGTCTTTACCGAGTTTTTCAGCCAAAAACTCGGCAACACCGTGACGCTTGGCATTCCTATTTTTTAAAATGAATAAGGTAAAAACTTTACCGAGTGTTGTGGGTGCGCAAGTTGGCGACAGAGGGACGCGTGGAACACCCATTTATAAAAAATACAATTTAGTAAATTTTTACGAGTCTCCATTGGACGAAACTCGGCAAACAAGGGCTGCCGTCACGGCTCTGTCTACTACTTGACAGCTGGTCCCGCATGTCAGTTATGGTCGAGTTTCTTTCATCGGGAACTCCGCGAATGTGTTATTCCGCCGAGATTTTGTTTTTCCTGAGTCGTTTTTCATTAGGACCTGGCAAAGGCACAGCTCTGCCGAGTTGCTTATCACTGCCGAGTCCAATTTTGAATCAAACTTGGCAGACAGAATTTCGCTGAGTTCCCGATAGAATGAACTCGACAAACTCTTGAAACTCGCGACAGAACCAGATTCTAGTAGTGTTAGTCAAAAGCTGCACCATATATAGAACTGAGAGAAAATACCATTGTTGCTCATTTGCAGCCCACGGCACTGGCCTCTCTGGGGTTTTAAATGTATATGTTGTGCATTTAGTGCGAGCATTAAAAAATTCAAAATGTCGTAACTTTACAACGCCGCTACAAAATTATGATCCAATTTTATCATGGGAATCCTTGTTGCGAGCTCTTTGAAGCTAGACCCACTTTTATTTGTGTTGACAAACATTTTTTCAATGCCAACTTTGATGCTATATGGTGCAACAAGTTGCAACTTTTAGAAAAAGAACTTTCATGTTACATAAGCCAATTTTAGTACTAAATGATGCAACTTTAGTGTTACATGCACTAACTTCCACTGCAACTTAGTAACCACATGGTAACAACCCGGCTGGTTCAGTCGTCATGGCGACGAACGTGCAGTCATTCCCAGGGGTGAACACGCTCGGCGTGTCCATGGTGCGCATCAGTTGCGCGGTGGGAGGCCAGAACCCGCTGCTCACCCACCCGTGCGCCACCAAGATCATATTCATCACGAAGGGAACCCTCGAGGTGGGCTTCATCACCGCCTCGAAACGATGGGCCATACCACGATGATAATTTCCCAAAAGTCTTTCTTTCTGGCTCTCACATGGTATGGTACGAAATACTACAATCTTATTTCCCTTCGTTGCTTACATCTTACGAATGCCCTAAATGATGGGCCATTCTTGAGTTACGTGGTCTCTCTTTTTTTAATTCACTAGTAGAAAAATCATTTGTCCCGGTTCTAGAGGGCCTTTAGTCCCGGTTCTGGAACCGGGACTAAAGCCCCCCCCCCCCCTTAGTCTCGGTTCTTATATGAACCGGGACAAAAGGCCCTCCACGCGGCTGCTGTCTGGAGCTCCACCTTTAGTCCCGGTTGGTAACACCAACTGGGACTAAAGGAAATTTTACAAAATTTAAATTTTTTTAACTTTTTTCTGATTTTCAAATTTCTGAATTATTTTACAATTTAATTTCTAATCACCACTCATCACTGCTCAATTTAACCTCCAATCTCTAATCATCCCTCATCATTCCAAATCATCTAACTTCCCGGCCGGTCACCCATCCTCTCACTACTCCAGCTTGAGCACGCTTAACTTCTGGGTTCTATTCCCCCTCGTTTCCAAGTCTGCACTTGTTGTTTTCCTGACCATAGTAAGATGTCAATCCTATTAACCCTCAGAAGTTTAGCTTGAGCATGAAGTCGCACGTTTCACTGTTTGAGTTTGAAACTATTATTCTGAAAAACAATAATTATTTAGTAACACTAATATTTCTTGAATAAGTAGTTTGACCATAGTTTACCTTTAGTCTCGGTTTGAGACACAAACCGGAACTAAAGGGAGCGATGCCCTTTAGTCCCGGTTCGTCTCTGAAACCGGGACTAAAGGGCTCATTTGAACCGGGACTAATGCCCCCATGGGTCCCGGTTTGTGATTGAACCGGGACTGATGGGCTTATCTGGCCTGAACGAAAGCCCTGTTTTCTACTAGTGATTGAAGTTCCGTTGTCTTTCTAGGGAAAGCCTTTATGGTGGTTTTTATTAAAATATGCATAATGAATGCATCGTTTGCGAGGATCTGAAGTGCTCACCGAATCCATGGAATAAAATATGAGCAAGCGATAAGGGGAGTGGAGTGGAAGATGAGCGGAGCAGACAAGAGAGAGAGAGAGAGAGAGAGAGAGAGAGAGAGAGAGAGAGAGAGAGAGGGGAGTGAGGCCAGGATTTGTTAACTGGGGGTTTTCTAGGGACAGGTGGAGGCGGCGCTGGCCATAGAAGGCATGCCAAGCGCGTTCGGGCCTCTCCATATCCGCCTCAGCTTTGAGCCGAATATGGGGAGTGTCGGTCAATTTGGGATTTTGGGCCGGCTATGAGGAGGCTGGTTGGGTGGGTTTTTGCATCTGGACACTGATTGGGCAGCCTGTCCGGGCGTTTTGGGGTGGGTATGGGGGGGGGTCTGATTGTGGATGCTCCAAACAACTTGTATGTCCAACTAAAAACACTTCCGTGTCACCACTCAAGCTCCAAAAGGTGCCTTTATTGTGGCCTCCCTAGTTGTCTTGCATGTTTTTCCTAGCTCTCAGATATACCAAAAAGGTACAACGAGAAAACAACATGAACACAAATCTCAAATTAGGTGAGGCCTAGAAATGCGAGATTTCATCCAAAGCTCCACGCTGAAACAATAGAATAGTTCCTCACAAATAAAAAGAACAGTAGAACAGTTCCTCACGAATAAAGGTTACAAGTTTACAGCTTGCTGACACATCCATTCATATATCTGCATTATTGACTTGCTTAACAAACACTTGTTTTCTTTGAATATAAAAATCCGTTGCTTAAGAGTTATTGACTTCCTCACCAATGCTAATAAGTGAGTACTGCAATACTAACTAATAGGTCTATTATTTTAACAGTTTCTGCTGATCTAATACATGTTTTTATATCCATTGCAGCGAGCTTGAAGGTGTGTTCTCGCTCTGGATCTTACTAATTGTTACCCATCAAATTTTTTTTTTATTTTCTTATCATTAACCCGCTTGTGACAATGTTTGAAATTTTTAACTCACTTGCACCACATGTGCTTTGCCGGGTCGCTCAAATTAAATATGATGTAATAGAAATTATAACAAAAATAAAATGGTATATTCACACCAGATGATTCACATGTTTTTATACTAAAATTTTATACTTATTTCAAACTAAGTGTAACATAATACCGTTTTAATTAATATAACGTATTATCAATTTTTCACATAACAATTTTTCCAAATAATAGTTATGTCACCCATTGTCATACATTTGTAACGTATAACACTGAAATTTTTGATTCTGCAAAACTATAATTGTATGATTTACCATTAATTTCTATTTCTTGTTAACAAAAAATTCTTTGAATTAATTATTCTAATATTTCATAAACTATGCAGTGTATACATACATATTTGCATATGTATCTATGCGTTCATATATCTTTTAATACCATGGTAGAGATTTCTAAATCTTATACGCACTAGCAAGTATTTTAATAGTGGTTTATAGAGCATATTAGGCAACCATATTCATAAAAACTTGTAAGGATAACAAAAGACTTCCAAGTTGGATTCAGTAATAGAAGTATCGAAGAACCAAAAATGTGGTTGATTGTACTTTTGCATATTTTTCAATTTTCTGGCATTCTCGTCTAGATTCAAATGCTCTGATTTCATGCAAGTGAGATTTCCTCCCCGTTTCTCAAATGAAAAATTGTGCATTGGTTTAAGCATTGAAATCTTGTTATCATATATTTCATAATTATATCAAGACATCCATCGTAAAGAGAGACTACATATTTAAATTCAACTTCGCTAGGAGGAGACGTACAGGATCTGCGAATTGCTTCATGTTGGATGGAACGGCGTGTTATTTCATGGGGTTGAAGCCTTATAGGAGAAGGAACCACGTGCACAAGGCGCACGAGGAGCAGATCGGCCGTACTAC